TTAACAGACTGAGTTGTAAATGAGTCAAAATATAATACCCTTCCTCGAAATTGGATTTCTAATCCTCCCTTCTTCTTTTTGAGAAATTCTGTATTGTAATACTCCTTACTTTTATAACTAAATTCGAGTTTAATGGAATGATATCTCTATTTTGATCCAAAAAAAAAAAACCTAGACTCGCGAGTCTTCTATTTTGGCGGTGAGAGCACGGAAAATCTGCCATCGAAATGACAAATGATTTGTATCGGTGCGATTGAACACGAAATAATGCCACGTAAGTCTTCCTTCCTTCCCGCTCGTTAATCTAATCCGATTGTCTAAAATCCAGCCTTGGTGGATATTACGTGGACACCGATCTTTTTTTAATTTACAACATCTCTCTGAATTCTCATCACCGTCCCTGTCTCCTCCCGAGAAAAATCAATCCCCCGTTCTTGACCGATCTTGGGCCGACTTTACACGTGTCCCAATCCCTGCACGTGTCAGATTCTATTCTAAAAAATAACTTTTTAAGACAATAATCGTCTCGGATAACATCGTTCTTAACCCGGGTGATGACCTGACCTTATCCCATTGGCACCAATCATTTGACTCCATTAGCACGTGTTGATAATCTTCACACGTTCCTAATTATAAAATTACGAACTAAACACGCATTTAAGATAACGATTTAGCAATGGAAACATAGTTTGAGTTTATAATTGTACTCGTCTCAACATTTTCGCGTAAGGTCGGATTGATGGAAATGAAACCTTAATCTGTTGAGATAAAGGGCATTAAAGGTCCCAGAACTTTTTTCAAATTGTTCGATCGTGTCCTCGAACTTTTTATTATGTGGAATTGGGTCTCTAAGTTATATTTTTTTATTGTTCAACTTGGTCGTTTCGTCAAAATTATGGACGAAAATGCTAACCTGATATCCTGCACTATGTTTAAGATAATAGTGAAAATAACAAATATTGAAAGAAAAAAAAGAAAACAGGGAAATCTAGGGCGGTGGCACACCGGTGCGGTCGCCTATCCCGAGCAATTACTGGTCGGGGGTCGCGAGACCTCGGGGAAAATTATTCATCCGATTTATGTTAGAAATTCTACAAGGACTGAATATCCCGATTTTGCATGGACAAACAAAACTCATGCGTAATCAGAACCTAATGCGGAAACTTGAAAAATTCTTTATTAACCACCAGACATTGATTATCCTCCTCGCCCCCGAGTCCCCCGTCCCCCGCGCCGCCGGCCTCCGCCCCCTCCCCAGCCGCCACCCCTTCCTCGGCTCCCCCGAGCCCCTCGTCGCCTGCCTCTCCCCCTCCCGCCGCGACTTCGTCATCCAGCTCGCCTCCTCCGATTCCGACCTCTCCGCAGACCCCATCGCCGCCCTACCGCGAGAACGCACGCCATCTCCACCGCACTCAGAAGAGAATCGCAAAAACTCAAAAGGCCTACCGAGTCAAAAGCCGGAGGAAGCGAGCGACCGGCGAGGACCAGATCCAACACTCGAAACCTACAGGCGACGCGAGCGAGCGGCGGACACCGCCGTCGCCGGCGGACGCGCAGCCCCCTACGCATGCGGACACATACAGAAGCATATCATGGAGAGCGAGAGAAACCACGCGCGAGATAGAGAGAGAGAGAGACGGGGAGAGGGGAGGGAGGGGGGAGGAAGGGAAGCGAACCATCGCTGTCCTTGTCGAACAAGCTGAAGGCCTCCTTGAACTCGAAGATCTGGTCGTCGGTGAGCTGATCCGCCATCTCAAAACCTTCCTCCCTCCCTCCTCCTCCTCCTTCCGAAATGCGAACAGCGAACAGAGAACGCGAAACAGAGGAGAGAGAAAGAGAGCGCTAGAGAGAGAGAGAGAGAGAGGGTGGGAAGAGCTTTCGTGAATCTTACGAAGAAGACGAGGCTGAAGTCGACGCCTGCGGCGGCGGTGGTGGCGGGCTCGTCGACGACGCGAAGTCCTCCTGCTGCGGCAACAACGATGCTGGGACGACGGGCGCAGAAGGCGGTGATGCCGCGGCGGCGGTTGAATCGTTGAGGCTGGGGCGGTGATGCACGGGGTGCTGCAGGGAAAATGATGAATTCGGGATCCGCAACAATGGCCTCTCTCTCTCTCTCTATCTCTATCTCTGAATTCATTGTTTGAAACACAAAACCCGCCCCGATATGACCCGATCCGATCGTGTAGCTTTATCTTATTCGGGTCTTGTCTCGGGTCGGGTCGAACAAATATGTCCAATATTTGGATCGGGTCGGGTATCATGAAAACCCGACCCGTTGACACCCCTACTAGCAAGAAGGCCCATTATCGGCAATTTCTTGTCCCGTAACCTAAACTCGCGAGTCTTCTATTTTGGCCGTGAGAGCACGGAAAATCTGCCATCGAAATGACAAATGATTTGTATCGGAGCGATTGAACACGAAACAATGCCACGTAAGTCTTCCTTCCTTCCCACTCGTTAATCTAATCCGATTGTCAAAAATCCAGCTTTGGTGGATATTACGTGGACACCGATTTTTTTTAATTTACAATATCTCTCTAAATTCTCATCACCGTCCCTGTCTCCTCCCGAGAAAAATCAATCCCTCTTCTTGACCGATCTTGGGCCGACTTTACACGTGTCGCAATCCCTACACGTGTCAAATTCTATTCTAAGAAATAACTTTGTAAGACAATAATCATCTCGGATAACGTCGTTCTTAGCCCGGGTGATGACCTGACCTTATCCATTGGCACCAATCATTTGACTCCGTTAGCACGTGTTGATAATCTTCGCACGTTCCTAATTATGAAATTCCGAACTGAACACGCGTTTGAGATAACGATTTAGCAATGGAAACATGGTTTGAGTTTTATAGCTGTACTCGTCTCGACATTTTTGGGTAAGGTCGGATTGATGGAAATGAAACCTTAATCTGTTGAGATAAAGGGCAATAAAGGTCCCTGAACTTTTTTCAAATTGTTCGATCGTGTCCTCGAACTTTTTATTTTGTGGAATTGGGTCTCTAAGTTATATTTTTTTATTGTTCAACTTGGTCGTTTCGTCAAAATTATGGACGAAAATGCTAACCTGATATCCTGCACTATGTTTGAGAAAATATTGAAAATAACAAATATTGAAAAAAAAATAAGAAAACAGGGAAATCTAGGGAGGTGGCGCACCGGTGCGATTGCCTGACCCGAGCAATTATTGGTCGGGGGTCGTGAGACCTCGTTGACCTCGGGCTAGATTTGGTCTTGATTAGGATCTTGTGACCTCGACCAGGATAAGGGCCTAATATGGCCCTTGCAAGGGACTCGCTTTGACTTTTCAAGAAAATAGAAATATGCTAATATTTTATCGAATTAGCACGAAACTTGTACGTGAGCAATTATGCAAGAGAAAATATTCAATATAACTTTAGTGTAACGTTATTTATACAATAGCCTACTCATTATGCGATGCGTGTCAATTATATATTTTTAACTTTTTCTTCCTTCTTTTTCTTTTTTCTTTCTTTGTCATCTTCCTTTCACTCCATCGGGACGACGACAAACAAACTCAAACTCAAACTCGCGGTCACCTCACCGCCATCTCAATCCTCCGTCCATTACCACCTCGTGGCCTTCCGCCGCCATAGCACCATCCTTACTTCCGCCCTCAACCGCCAATGAGATCCTCATTTTTCCCAATCCCTTCCCACGGATCTCCACCACTAAAGCCTTCTACTCTCAGCCAATGGCCCCCGGCCTCCAATCTCCACTAGCCCGGTAGCAGCTCGAGGTCGGCCAACAAAATTGAGCCTCAAATCTTGGATCTAAGCTCGAGCGAGCCCTAGATTCGGGATCTAGAGCTCAACTCGACCTCGAATCAACTCAGATTCGAGGTCGACCAATGTTGGGGGTAGCCATAGCTGGATTTTTTAGGTCTATGGCCGTCGTCGATCTCCACTAGACGAGTTCTCACAATGAGGATTTGATGGAAGAGAGACATGGGGATTGGGGGTGTGAGGGGGACTGCTGAGAGTCATCCTCGCTTGGAGGAGAGCTATTGGATCATTGGGACGAGGCGGAGGCGGTTGGACGAGAGAGAGAGAGAGCAGAGCTAGGGCTACTCAGTCGCGAGTTGGGAGGGACGGGAGCGAGTCGGGAGGAAGGGAGGGAGGGAGGGAGCAGAGAGAGAGAGAGAGACTTCCAAATTAGGTGGGCCGACATCGACACGCGTCGCACAGCGAGTGAACTGGCTATTGCGTGATCGACGTGGGGAATTGGTTTGTAAGAACTCGTGAACCTACGACGCCCCTTCCATTCTTCACACGAAACGCGTGCCTAGAAAAGCGTAGACATTGAATTAGAAAAATCTAATTTACAATGCAAGAGATGCCTTATCACATCAGATGACCCTTCCACGATACCGCACCGTCCAATTCGACGAAGCGAGAGGCAAAGAGGTCGCCTTCAAACACTCCTTTCTATCCATACATCTTCTTTACACATCATGTCCACATCTCTTTCTCTCTCCCCTGTTTTCACTGCTTTCGTAATCGACGAACGTGCCAGGAAAAGGCCAAATCCGAACCCTCTGGAAACTGGAAACCCTCCCCCCCTTTCGCGTTCGCGTTCGCGTTCTCTCTCTATAAAATTCAAGCTTCCTCTCTTCCTCTCTTCCTCTCTTTCTCTATCTTTCTCATCACTGACCATCTCCATCGCGGGAAGGAAGATTTCGCAGGGAACGAGGAAATCACTCCATCGCCCATTTGCCCCGTGCGTGTAATCGGAGCTTTCAGCTGCAGGCCGCGTCTTCCGCTTCGGTCGAGGGATCGGGGGGCGAGTTCCGATTTTGAAAGTTCGTTGTTCTTTAAAAGAGCCCTGTACCGTTACGTTAAACCCAGCTTTTGCTTTTGCGTTCTCTCTACCGACGGCTCCGCGTGGGTGGGTGCGTGCGTTTCGTTACCTAAGTTTAGCTCTCTTCAGGTGGAGGTAAGGGGGCGCTTCGCGTTGGGTTTCTCTTCCTTTTTTTCTCGTTTTTATTTTTATTTTCCTGGGCGGTGGATGCTTTGGGATTCCTAGTGTGTCTGAAAGAGGAAGGGGCTAATTGTGAATAGGAATCGGTTCTGGGTTTGTCCGTGCCGTGTTGAGGCGGGTGATGAGGGTAGTTCGGAGGCATTGAGGCGCTTGTTTGGTCTTTTTTGCGATTTCCGATGCAGTTGAATGATGTAGGAGCTTGAACGGACTGCTTGTGTAGCTATGGCGTTGTTATCACCGGTCCAATATGCACATCTTGGTGCTGGAAGAGGTTTTTCTTAAGTTGGCACTTAATGGGTATCGTTGTAGATGTTAGTCTGCTCTTGTGATTTTCGAACCGCCATTCGTTTGGCAGTTTTATCGCCTTGAGATTTTGGCTGATTAACTTGAGCAACATCGTGTGGCTCGATTCTTGTCGGTAACTTAGAGGACTAGCATGGTGTTGTGTTTTCCCTTTGTCGAAATGAAGGAATCCCCTGCTGCTTTCGGTTCTTTTGCCGCTATCTCGTGCGATCAAGGATGTGCCATGCCAATCCAATCATTTCCCGAATCATTGGAGCAGGTGACACTCGTCCGGGTTCGTTATGGACAATGTGTCAGGTGATTGACTTGGCACGTACGAATAGATTAGCTATGCTGGGACTCGATAACTCTGGAAATTCCTTCTTTTATGTAGGATCTGGTGAAAAAGCTTGGCGCGCAGTAGCGTTGTTAGAATTCGAGGTTGCAATTTGGTCGTTGGTCACAGAATGCAGTGTAGTGTATTCAGGTTTCACCAAGCAGTTCGATAGTGAACGAAGCTGTGTGGCTTCCGTTAACTGAGAAACAGGAGCCAAGGTGAACGCTGGCGAATACCCTAATTAAATAAGTTCCTTGCAAGAAGATGATGAGGAGAATCAACTCACCTCCCTTCTGCACGGGATATTATCTATTTCCTATGGCTGGCCTTGTCTGATGATTCGATTCTCAAAGTGAAGAATGTTAATGACGGTTAAGATGTGAAAGCCAGCCTTTTCATCTTTTATAGGATGTAGTTTTCTCCCTTCAGGAGTCCTTGGAAATTTGGTATTTAGGGGAAGATGGAGTGGATCCAATTGCTTTGCATGCTTTCCTCTTTTCTACATATGACTGACTGCAGCGGTTTTTCCCCCATTTTTCCTGCCCCGGAAATTTTACTGGACAACGTAGAATCCAAACTTCACGAGACTGAACGATAAACATATCAAATGATATATAAGCCAACTTGAGGGTATTTGTTTAGTTGGAAGAGCCTTCTGACTGCAAAAGTAAAATGAGCTTCAGTACAGTCGAAAGTCTTAAGGCTTGAGTTATTAGCAGTTCTCAAAGAAAGCTTCAAGCAGAATTGCAGAAGGAGGTAGTATATCCTTGATGGACTAGTTTGCTCTTACAATCTTTCACCTTATTCTGTTATCTAACTACGTTTAAGAGCATTTAATCGTGTGATTTGTTGGCTTTCACCAGAGATTGGCTCGTTGATGGTCGTTTCTGGTATAGTTTGTTCCAGACTTCAAGGAATCAGTGATCATGACACACAATTCCTTATTATCCACTGCTGGATGCCCTGGAGTTCCTCAATGCTTCGCTTATGTTATTAGATGGGATTTTTTTAGATCTACTTGTTTCGATGATTCCTTCTGTTGGAGCACTGCTGATTGGAGCTGTTCGACATGCATTGGACTGTCTTGATGCCGATATCAAATGGTCTTGAGCCTTGTAGCAGAAATCAATGTTGCAGTGTCTCCTTGCTTGACTGGCCAAGTAAAATTCTTAGGAGGTTATGGAATGTAGCTAAGTTTGCTCATATCTGCAGGTGCTTCATCGCTAGCTTCTAGGTAGTTGGTAGTCTCAGCAGAGTCAAATAAAAATGGGTGAAGTAGCTATTGAACAGCAAGGGTTTCAACAGTTTGATGCGGAAAACCTTCAGCATGTCTTCTATAAAGAGAGTCAGACAGACAATGAGTTCACAGTCCTTCAGCAGATGAATGGGGAACCGATGCCTGTCGAGAAAACTAAAGATGATGCTAGTGCTACCGAGTTGCTAGAGAGAGGGTACTTGCAGTATGGGTAATGTCCGGCTCTTTCTTGAGCAGTATTCCTTCAATTTTAATTCCTGTCAACTTTCAGTTAATATCAAAGTTGCTACTGCTGCAGATGTCCTCATTACCGTCGAAGGTGCCGCATTAGAGCCCCCTGTTGCAACGAGATTTTTGATTGCCGTCACTGTCATAATGATGCAAAGGTGATTCTTTGTGCCCCTCATAGACTTAAGTATGCTTGATAACTTCCTTTATTATGACATGAAGAGGGTCGCTAGATATCTAGGAGATACTTTAGAGTGAGCTTAGCTGATTAACTTTTCACTTGCCATATACTAGAGAATGATCGTTAACCAAAATGTAAGTACCACTTCAGCTGCTTGTAGGTTTTGGGCTCTAGTGACATGAGTTATCTTAAGATGAGATTGCATTCTAACTCGTTGTTAACTTTGAAGTGTGTGTGCTTATATTGTGATATGTGCGGTTTCCCATTATTGTATGACGGATATCTGCGGAAGTTGCCCCTGATATTCTCTCGAAGTTAATTGACTTAATAATGGCATCAGAGTTTCTTTGCATCATAAATGAAAGTCGCCATGTGGATTGAGTTTGGATAAGTAGTCTAGTATATGGTAAATCTGACAAATTATATGATTCTTCAATCTTCTACCTATAGACATGCTCTTCATTACATGTCATACTGTTCTCTTATGTGCAGAACAATATCAATGTAAACCAAAAGGAGCGACATGAGTTGCCTCGCCATCAAGTTCAACAGGTGGATGCTATTAAATTTCTGGCATGTTTAAATACTGACTTATTACTCGATGTTCCCATTAACCTACTTTTTTTGTTTCAGGTTGTATGTTCACTCTGCGGTACTGAACAAGAGGTAAGTTTAAACATTCTATACTTCATTACCAATTTTGGTTGCACTAAGAGCTTTTCAAAGGAGGTAAAAAATGTGAAGTTGTTTGGAAAGACTAGCCAAAAATGAGCTGCAGTGCAGTATCGCACTTTGCCATCAATATGTTAGGTTTTGAAGATGTTGATTCTCAAGCTTTGGTTCCCATGTTCACAGGTCCGGCAGGTGTGCATCAACTGTGGTGTTTGCATGGGGAAGTACTTTTGTGGGACTTGTAAGCTTTTCGACGATGATGTGAGTCAAATCTTTTTTATCTGGCTGCTCAATTTCTTTTGTGCGTCTAGGACAGTGACATTGGTCGAGTCTCTCTTTATGTCAGAAGTAGTCTCTTTCTGCCCTCTCCCCCTAGCAAATAGCATAAAAATGCTGTATAATGCGCAAGCATGTGAAAAAGGAAGTTTCTTATTTGCATTTTACAGATTGTCAAAAGTGTGAGGTGTTATATCCTGCAGTGGAGACGGTATGATCACATGGACCTGATATCTTACTTTATTTTTTCTGCAGACATCCAAAAAGCAGTATCATTGTAATGGATGTGGCATTTGCAGGTATGGCAACCGTTAACCTTAATACAGTGTCAAAGCGGTTATCCTTGTGACTAATGGAAGTTTTTTGGTATCTCAATGCATGGCATCACTATTCGCCAATTAAATCTCACGGTGGGCAGTGTTAGTTATTGTGAGAAAATAAGAACAAATCATTAACATTTGGCACAAGGAGACTGGTCAGAGTAGATGAAAATGTCATGTTTCGAGAGAACCTAAAATTTATTCACAAATAATAGCTAGATGACTAGATATGATATGTCTGATCAAAAAAAAAAAAGACTAGATATGATATGAGTCTATGACCCGAACTAGTAGTTTCAGGATGTATAGATGAAATTTGTGGATGCATCTCATTTTCTGTCCATCATCACCCTTGGAGAAGATTATTGGCTTCTTCTAGGAATTTATATTTCAGTTTATACAGAAGTCCCCCCTTCCTTCTGGATGTTGTTCCCATCATTTCTTTGTCGTTGACGATCTCGCAAGTTTGGTACAACGCTAACTGTATTTCCTTTCTCAGAATTGGGGGGCGAGAGAATTTCTTCCACTGTTACAAGTGTGGTAAGCTTCACTTATCCTGTGCTTGCGCCAGCATAAATAGTAATAGAAAGAGCTGTAGCTAATCTGCTTCACTAATTGTCATGTTGTACAGGTTGCTGCTATTCAATCTTGCTGAAAAACAGCCATCCTTGCGTGGAAGGAGCGATGCATCATGACTGTCCTGTTTGCTTTGAGGTAAATCTCTGTGATTTAATGGTTACTATGTGTGCATTGCAATGAATGTATAAATTGAAAGCGGTGGAAATGGTGATGTGCAGTTTCTATTTGATTCGAGAAATGACGTGACAGCCTTGCCTTGCGGACACACAATTCACAAGAACTGCTTAAAAGAGATGAGAGAACATCACCAGTGAGTATCTGGAGGCTTGTCATGTACTTAAGTTCTTGGGCTCGACTTTTCTTCATACCTGTTTTAATTTGGTGATTATTGCAATAGGTATGCTTGCCCGATCTGCTCGAAGTCCGTGTGTGATATGTCAAAGGTTTGGGAGAAATTTGACATGGAGATTGCAGCCACGCCAATGCCAGAGCCTTATCAAAACAAGATGGTGGGTGTAGGAGAACTCGGCATATTTATCTATTCCTTCTTAAGGCTATGTTAGTCTAGTCAAGTTCCGTGATTAGCAAAGAACTGCTGCTGAAAGTTGTTTGCTGTTCAACAGGTCTGGATCCTCTGCAACGACTGCGGGAAAACATCTCGAGTCCAATTCCATGTAGTCGCTCAGAAATGCGCCCATTGCAAGTCCTATAATACTCGCCAAACACGTGGCTGACCATGTCACTTGGATTAAGAAATTGTGATGTTCACCAATGTCCTTACACCAGGCTGTGAAGTCGGATGTCCATAGAGTCGGGTCGCTTGTGAGGTGTGCTAGATATGCCAGATGATCAAGCGAATTGAATCTTGAGGGGGTCTCGACCTTCCTTTTTCTTGTCCTCTCCAAAATCTTTTCCTGGGTTTGTTTCTTCGAATCATGGAAATGAATGAATGTGGAGTTGCTCTCCTACTCTTCTTGTTGCATCTTATTGGTTCCCTAGCTTTTTCCATTGCTTTATGGTGTTTTTATCTTGCAAACGGTAGCTGTAGTATTAGCAGTATATCATCTGAGCAGTGCACATCTATGGAGGGAGGCCATCCTGCAGACAACGGCACGAGGTATGCTATCCGCGAAAGGGATCGAGCGCCTCATGATACAATCTCTCCTAAGGAATTGTATTGTTTCTTTACGAAGTGCTATGTCTTGGGGGGAGTGTCGGCTTAATATCACCCGGCGAGCTTCGAACGTTTGGTCGGTCCGTAAGCTCAGAAAGAAAACAGCTAGTACTTGACATTTACCTGAGTATAATGGCAAATGATCTTATATGAAATTGAGCCGCCGCCGGGACGTGGCTTCTAATGCCAGTGTTTGCTCATCTTCATATTTCTTTAATTCTAGGATACAAGACGAACCTACAAATCATACCGTCGGATAACCATTTTAAACAAAGTAAGGCACTTGAGATTCGATTTGTGATTAAAGGGTCAAATTACTTACAAGTTTAAACAAAGTCGACACTTGAGATTTGATTTGTGATTAAAGGATGAAAGTTACGAACGTGGAGGTAAAATGAAAGGTACCCAAGAGATTTCAACAAGGGGCTTCACGTTCCGATAGATCGAAGAAATCCTACGAGTCCTCGCCGCGTTTTGTGGACCACGACGTCATTTCGGACAAAACTTGTTCAGGCTCAATTTGGACCCAAGTGCTAGACCATGGTCCGCTAGTTTCGTGACAAGGGCCTCGCTCGGGTCGATTTCGAACAGGACAACTTTCACTGTCCGTGTTTCTTTTCTGAGGGAATCCTTGGGCAATTTTCAGCTGCCTACCTCTCTTGTTTTCTCTTTCGTCGCAAGACTTTTCGGGCGTGGAGTTTTTGTCTCGAGCTATAAAGAAGAATCCGAGATGTTACAAGACCCGCAAAAGCTTTTTGTTCGCTTCCTGGTCAAGAGGGGACAAGATTTGAATTCAACGAGAACAAGCAGTGGCGGTCCTCTCTTGTATCTTGTTGGTTACGACTGAGACCCGTCACAATCTCCTTTTCTCCAGAATATATTCTTGTCTCGCCCTCGGTCTAGAACATCACCACACGGACATTGGCGTGCACGGCATATTTTGGCGGGTTGCACAGTCGAAAATGTTAGCCTAAGATCGATAGGACTGCGTCCGTCGGAGGCCTAATTGTCATCCGATGATGGCGGTCTGTCTATAAACTGTGAAACCGCATATGTCAAAACCACTTATGTTGGAGGAAGTGTGTCATTCATCCAGACCAAGATATGCACGAAGAAGAAACACCAACATTCGAATCGAATGCCATTAAAAGAAATCCATGATTAGCTTTGTTCCTTAGGATTTTCGTAACATGAGTTTGAACTTCCATCGACAGAGAGTCAGAGAGTGAGCCGAAACCATGCCGACACCAGCAAATTTGTTAATGAAACTATGAAGGCGAGTTTATATTGTTGAAGGTAAAAAGCTCAAGTTCATTTGGATGCTCATACAGGGACTCTGATATTCCTTTAGAGGGACAGAAAATTGGGGAGCCATGACAATCGGCATACCAACCCCTTTCTTTGGAATAAAATGACAACAACAAAAGCAAGAAAACAAAAATATGTCTCAATTATTTCTCAATGCCGAAAGAAGACTCCCCACCACCTATACCACCAAGTTTAGAAGCACAAAGCAGTGAAAACGGACGCAATGTACAAAAAGGTTTTGATTGATGATCATCCATGGCTGCAGATAAAATGAACATGGAAACAGCTCTTTGTGAACGGACGATCTGCATGGCTAACAGTGGAGGAGACGGTGATGGGAAGCGGCTTTGCTTACTCGGTTTCTTCGAGGCCGGTCTCAAAAAGGTTGCCATGGCCATTGTACGAATCAGATGAGTCCCCGGGAGCTGTAGCATTCGCGGTTTTCTCCATTTCCTCATCGATCATGATCTCTGCTGAACGGCATTCTGAACTGCAAAATGCTTTCTCGCCTCTGCATGGAAGATAAAAGACAAATATATCAGTTCAAGTAATTACTTCTATTAGACAAGCACTCAAGCAATTCATATGCACTACTTGGGGAAATATATACAAAGCTCTCAATGAATGGTAGAATGATTATCAAACCTGTACATGTAGATATCTTTTCCCTCTTCCAGAATCTTCTTGCAGGTGAAGCAGAAGCTCAAGAAGTTGTCTGATGGATGCATTGCCAGAGTCTCAGAAGTCTTACTCAGCAAACTCAGCCGATTGTTCTGAATGGTCTCATGAAGATCCATTGTCCCATTAGATTGGCATTCCAAAATGCAGTCACCAAAAATGTGGGTTGTTTTCTTGTTAGGGCCATGTAAGGTTACACATGTATAGTCCTCGGAGAGCTCAATCTCGCTCTTCGGGAGAGAACCGATGAGTCCATTGACTCCATTTCCAGAGCCAGGTGACATCGACAAGGAACTCTGGTTAGCATGCAAAAGGTCGTTTGATTTCAGATTCAATCCGCTCAATTCGGAAGAAGAATTCACCAAAATGCAAGAATTCAGAGAACACGACCGGGTTTTCCCAAAGGGTTCAGTATCTTGAGGGTCAACTCCGATCTCAAAAACAACATCGGAGCTAATATCACAGAGGGGAGATTTCAAACGGGTATGAGGGAACGCGTAATTCTTTGGCAGCGACTTAGCTGCCTCAACGGGACGAGTACTTGTGTCAAAGTTCGGATTTTTAAGCCTCATCTGGGGACCGAAAAGAATGGTCTTGCCATCCGATGACTGAAGAACTTTTCCAGGCAATGCTTTAGCATTATGATCAAGAGAATACACAATGCTTAAGCCCACTTTATTACAATCCCAAATTTTTTTGTGTCGAGGTGATTTAGGGGACTTGTTAGGGTTGGTCAGAGTTAAGAATGCCTTGAAATCAAGAGGAGAGGTAGGACTATTGGCTGACTCAGACTCTGATAGTCTCTTAGGGGTCAAACCCACAAAAATGCCAGGGAGATTGAACAAGGTATTGCTTTTAGAATTCAAATCAAGCTCACAATCAGGATTAGCAACTGCTCTTTGACCCATCTGGTGATCTTTCAGCACCGACCTGGCCCTCTTTCCCAGCATTATTATCCCAAGAAACGTCCCAAAAAGCCCCACTGCTTCGAATCACCAGGAACAGATTATCTGCATCATGATGAAATGTGTTTGAATTAGTGAGTCATTGGGCATTGAGAGAGAGAGAGAGAGAGAGAGAGAGAGAGAGAGAGAGAGAGAGAGAGAGAGAGAGAGAGAGAGAGAGTATTTCCCCCCTTTTGGCCACATTAGTAATGGAAAAGGGCGAGCAAAAGAAACCTCAACGGGGGAAAAAGACCCACCTTGAATCACCAGTAAAACCTCAACAACATGACAATGAAGGGGTTGCAGAAGAAGAAGTGAGGCATTCGAAACTATGCAATAGATAAATCAAAACGATCATTTTAGTCGGAAATTACGTAAAAAAGATGTTCAGACGTTTCAACCCACATCAAATAGAAGGACTCTCAAATATTTTCTCGTCTTTTTTCCCAGAAACAGTACATGGCCTTGAAGGTAGAAAAGATCAAACCCACAAAAAGGAAAAAACAAAAACGATGCCCTCCAGCTTAAACTTATACTCACTCAGTCATTTTCTCTATAGCTATGAGAGAAATCTAAGAACAGCATTGCAACAAAGACTTTTCTTTTTGGGTCAAAGCAGCAGCAAAGACAATTAACCAGGATGAAAGTGAACCAAGAAAGGGAAAGAAGAGCTGCCCATGGACAAGAACACCAAAAAACTTCACACCTCATGCATATGCATCTGGACATTCCAAGAAACTCTGTAGCATGATCTGTTAAACAAAAGGGAATAATCGACCAAGGAAACAGTGAAAAGAAAAACCCACCTGGGTATTCCGTTCTTTTTTCTCTTTTCCCTTCCTTCTTCCAGGAGCTTCTCCAGAGATGATAATGTTCAGAGAGAAGAAGGAGAAGAAGAAGGACGATGGACAAGAAGACCCAAATGCAGCTAAAACCGTGTTCTTGTGAAGCACTCGTGTGCTTGTGAGAACACTTGTACTGCACTCCTCCCTCCCTCTCTCTCTCTCTCTCTCTCTCTCTCTCTCCGAAATGTGCCTCATATTCAGCGAACCTGTGAGCTTGTCATATACTCTCCTCTCTCTCTCTCCTCTCTCTCCTCTCTCTCTCATTCGATCATTCATTTCGTATGTGCGTGCAATACACCGTAGTTTGACCACAGGACTACGCGTGTCCGTATCCTACAGAGCATCTGTAATTACTAAAACAAGAGACAGGAGGATCCATCCCTCCTGTTCGCCATCTCATTGCTTGGCTGGTTTCTAATTACCACTCTTCTTTCCTCTTCCAATATCGGGATTTTCCCTTTCTCGTCCAATTCATTAGCCAGAGAAACCCATTTCAAATGAATCGAGATTCCGAGTAGAAAGCCCGAGACTTTTTACTTTTCGAAGACGCGATGGAACAACATCAACAGGATGAAATTTTTCCATTGAAAACCACCCGTGTCTCTTCCCTCCGTATGCATGGCATTTATTGAACGCGGATATCTTAATTTTACTTGCAATAGGGTTAATATAATAAAAAAAACCCTAAACTGATATACGTGTGATAAATTCATCCCCCGTTAATTTTCGTTAAATTTTACCGTCAAATTACTGAGTTGGATAACACATTAGATTTACAAGTTTGTGGTTTTTCGTGGTTCAAATCCAATTTAACGAATGGTAAATTTTTCGCAAGTGTACTGACTTGGGGTTTTTGCTGTCAAAAAATTAGTTTTTGGTAAATTTGTCGTAAGTGTATTGATTTTTGGTTTTTTGTAGTCGAAAAATTAGTTTGAGATAAATTTATCACAAATATATCAGTTTGAGATTTTTCGTGGTATTAACCTAATGAAAAATTGAAAAATTGAAAACTCTTTTTTTTTTTTTTTTGCTAAATGAAAAATTGAAAACTCTTGGATGCATGCATGTGTGGCCGAACCGGAGCGAGAGACTCAGGATGGTGTGGACAAATGGCATTTCTGCCTTTTCTAATAAAGGCAGCAAATAAAGTAGTTCAGTCTTTTGAGAGAGAGAGAGAGATTCTTTTTATATTTTTTTTCCAATTTCTTTTTCTCTTTGAAAAATTAAATGAGAAGTCTTTTGAAGGGGGGGCCATCGCAAAACGACAAAGCGTAGGTGAGAGAGAGAGAGATGTTTTATTTTTATTTTATTTCTATTTTCTTTTCCTCCTTCGAAAATTAAATGGAAAAGCTTTTTCTGAAGGGCGAGTCATCGCAAAACGACAAAGCGTACGTGGTAAAACGCCTCCCAATCATGCAACTGACAAACGGCCACGGCCGTCTCCGACTTAACGACGTTTGGTTCATTTCGGGTTTTGTTTTTTTTGTCATCTTCCGCGCCCGGTAAGGAAATTCCGCATTTACCCCTCGCCCGCCACCTCTCCCTTTCTTTTTCTTTTTCCTCTTTTTTCCATGAGAAAAGCCGAAAAGCTGAATTACAATGGATATTATTTTTTAATTTTTTTGGAAAAATCAAAGCTTTTTTTTTTTTTCCCAACATGGGTCGTGGGTGGTAGTGGCACGGTGGCAAAAATGCGTTCCTCGTCTTTAACATGCGATCATCTGCATGCAAAATGTTTAGAACAAAGGGATGCGGTTGGATGATCCATGGCTTGGGTACTCTCGCCATTTTCATTTTCTTAGAGCGTGTATGGAATCAAGATAAGGGTGAATTGAAAGCGGCGTGCGTATTGACATGGACACAATTTCATAGAAATCGAGGAAGAGAGATGTTGAGGGCGAAAATCAATTAAAGACATCCCAAAACATATTTTTGGGAGAACCGAAACTAGCTAGATCGTATAAAATTAGTAACTTACTTTCAATACCCCCGTTAGGTCGAGGAAAATGCGGAAGTAACGCTTACCGAATTATTTATGGATATTTAGGTCCGCTGTTGGTGTGTAAACAAAGTTACACATTCACTCTTCAATGGTCGACAGGTGAAAGAATTCGATTAGAGAACTAACCATCGACATACATGTTACTCTTCTAACAATGAATGTATAACGAATTTTCGGCACCAGCAATGGATTGAATTTATTACCACTACTAAAGGAGAGATTGCCTTTTATGGTCTCTCTCCCTCTTAAATGCTAGTTCTTCTTACTATATAACTTTGAATTATAGAAGAGGATGTTCACAACCTATGTATAATCTAACCGCAAATGCATATTACCCCATCTCGATTCTCAACTATCCTCTTCATTTATAAAACGAGACAATAAGGTTGAAGTCATCGTCCCTTATTTCTAAAAGAAACGGTTTATATCCTCAAATACGAGTATGGACTCGCTCCGTAATTACAATAATGTAGCTTTCACTTCAATACATGAGCCATAACATGTATTGCTATAGTGATCCAAATGGCCACGTGCCAAAAAAATATAGGAGGTATCGATCTAATGAAAATTAATCTCTAGCGAATTAGTTGTATTTAGGTCATGCATTATTGTACGTGCAGGCACGTCACACAAAAACACTTGGGACTGGAATAACATCTAATGACATAATCATATTGGGGACATATATAGTTAGCATTTTCTTGCATAAGATATTCAAGAACCAATCGATTTTCATTACAAAAAAAGGGGAAGAATGACACTAAGTATCGAAAGTTATGTACGGCGCTCACTTAAATGTCAAAAGTTTTTTTTCGAATTACTTACGTGCTAATTTTATAAAAATAAATATCACTTAAGTGCCAACTCTAATCAAGATTGTCGGAAATCAAACGTGGCCATATTTTATTAATTTCTCCGATGACATGGCTTGCCGGCGTGCATATTTACTAAAAATCTCTGTGAGAGAGTCCGGAGATCTTTCTTCCCGGGTGTCGCCGCAGGCAACATGATTGGGGGGTGCGAGATGGTTCTCCTCATCGAGAAGCCGCTCGGCATTGTGGACGTGAGCCCCCCGCGCACGCTGCCTCATGCTGCCCAAGGCGCAACTCTAGGCCAAGTTTCTTAGGAAGGCTGAGAAGGAAGCGCTCAAGACGCGGGACGAGAACGGGGCATCGACGAAGATGAAGGTCTTGCTGCTAGGGCCTTCGGGCGAGACTTGCCGCTTGTGCCTGATAAGGTTGGACGGTGTACCACTTGGTAGGGCAAGGATGGGTCGACATCGTGGCAAGGAACGGATTGAAGAAGGTTCGAGTCGTCCGGCTGTATCCGTGTTGGATCGGGTCGAGTCTTTGTTTCGCACTCGTAAGCCCTTGACGAGGCGGTCTGGAGGATGTGACAACGTTTGGCTACTGCAAAACACGGGAGGTCGAACTCATGGAAAAGATTACTCAAGTAACGGCTTGCGTCGTGAAACAGGGCTGAACAGAGTAGATTGGAGTCGAGATTGTCCAAGGCAGATTCGGTGATTCCAGGAGACATCGTTGTATATACGAGTGTCGTCGGGGATAAGGGTGCGAGAATGGAGCATACCATCATGTGGGTCTCTAGCGAAAGGCACGAAAGTAAAGATAAACGTCAAAACAGGGGCTCCTCGGGTCTGTTTCCGCGGGGGGCAATTTAAAGCAAAACCGGCACTTCTTTGGCCGTCAATGAGGTGCGGGACGGACGTTTGACGCTTTGGGAGTGGGTGAACGGAGAATCAAGACTAATAGGTGAGCTCTTAAAAGGCGAAAATAGAAGACACGAAGACAGGGCCTCTTGGCCAAGCTCGCTGGAGACAATACGGGGTGGTCCGCTGATGGGTTGTCGGAGGTGGCGATGCGTCGCAAATAACCAAGGCGCTGGTAGACCACTGTGGCAGTCTTGAGTGAGTGAAGATTAATGGTTGAAGGTTGGCCATGGGGAGATCGTCCCCCCTCTCCAAAAGGAGACTCTTCGTTTTTATTTTCCTCCTCTCTATTCCGTTTATTCACCTTAAACACCAGTACGCTTCAGCAACTTCTCTTCTTCCACATGCACTAGTGCCCATGCCTCTGTTTTTGTTTTTTCCTTATTTCCATAAGCCAAGCCAAGCCAAGGTCTTCTCTCTCTTTCACTTCTCTTCTTGTTTAGTCAAATCTAGACAAGCGGCGTTTCGAGACTGATACGGATGAGCAGCTCGCGAGCGACGCCAATGCTTGTCCGTGACCGTTGTCGGAATCGTTCGGTTAGATCAGGCGGCGACTCCGCTGATGGCAAGATGGGGGAGGGGCGGAGGTCAGGCTTGGAGGGAGGGGATGACTAGACGGGTTTTTCGGGCAAGAGCGGCCGGAGGCGTGCCGGAGAGGGAGAGGGCCGACGCCATTGTTGTGGAGAGGGCGAGCTTAGAGAGAGGGTAGGGAGGAGAGAGGAGAAGAAAAAAAAATTGCCAATATTTTCCTTTCTTCTTCATGGGAAAGCAGCCAAGGAAGCCCACGTGGAATAATTTTAGAAAAAAAAGCCAACTCATTTTAATTTTTTAATTATAATTGCCACGTAATATTTTTGATTGGGAAATCTTGTCGTTAGCACTTAAGTGATCGTTTTTTCTCCGATTTGACACTTAAGTGAGTCGGCGGAAATTTTTTGCACTAAAGTGAGCGCCGTACACAACTTTTGACACTTCTGGTGTCCTTCTTCCCAAACAAACCAATGAAACATCAAATTTGTCCCATTTGCTAAATGTTGTCCCAAAGAAACTAAATTTTTTAGCGAAAAAAGTTCGTTGTTCAAGAAATGCCATTGATAGTAACAATTTGTTTCTACAAATAAAAATTGGGTTGGTGGTCCTGACCACTTTTGAGTCCCAATGATGCACTTTCGCTTTATTTCACTGCTCTGCTAAAAGGGAGAATAATCCCCACTTCCAACCCCATGCCTTGAATGGCTCATCGGCAGCTATGATCAATGCCATCAGGTCTGCCCACATTTTATTTTCTGACTCATGAAGGACAATTTTGAAAAAAAAAAAAACAATTTAGTAGCGTCAATGAGCATATTCTGGTCGGGCAAAGAGTTATTTTTTCACAAATATTTTAGGATCTTACTAACAAGTGCGCCGAAGTATTAATTATGCTGATTAAATGTGGATATCATAATCTTCAAGAGAGTTTATAAATAGAACAAGAACACACTAGTAAAGTTACTTACTCCAAATGGAAGATTTAAGGTTTTCAAAGTATAGTTAATAAGACTCGACGAATACCTAGAAATACTCTTTTATCAATTTTCAATTTTTGTAAAAGGGTGGTTGTCGCGTGCGCATCGATTAATCTTACCAACTTTAATGTTAGGACACCCGTTAACTTTTCTTGGCTTAGCAATGAAATCACCTAAGTACTAATTGGTGAAAGTATATGATTATGGTCCTAAACTCTGATTATTTTTTTCATTGCTTTTTGACCCGATTCTTGGGATGAAAAATTACCCCGTGAATCACATGCTGTGTTTCTTGCTTTAGGTATTTATTCACTTATTTAATTATTTTTCTATTGAGTGTATCTTGCCTAATCAATTGCTCTTATTTTCAATGTAGGGCAACTTTTTACCTCCAAATTCAACACTTGCATCACGGGCAAATAGTCCTCAATTATTATTCACTTTTATTTTTTCTTTGTAAAGTGACCAGGAGAACACTTTACTTGAGTACATTCAAAAAATGTGTTGTACTTGCAACTTGTAATATTTTAGTTATATGCAAAGCAAAAGCTTCTTGCTAGACACTTTTTTCTTTTTATAATGTTTACATCCTTTTAAGACTGTTGATTAACGTCGTACTTGATAGGCGTGAAATTAAAAAAAGATTAGTGTTTATTATTAAGAAGGGAAAAGGCCACAAAAATTTTCAAACTTTGCCTACCACGACACATTTACCCTAAATTATTTTTTGTGACACCAAAAACCCCAAACTTGTACTATCCTGACACATTTATTCCAAACTTTCTCCTGTGACATTAAAAATCATAAATTTATACATATGTGACACATTTATTCCAAACTTTTTTTTGTAACCAAAATTTTGAGATAAATATATTATACGGATACAAATTTAGGGTTTTTGATGTCACAAGAAGAAGTTTGGAGTAAAGTTTGGGATAAAGTTTGGGGTAAATGTGTCATATAGGTATATATTTTGAGTTTTTTTTGGTGTCTTTTACCCTTGAACGATATTATATAGATACCGCATAAAACATTTTCATTATGTTATTGACATTTATTTAGCCAAAGAAGTAACATTTATTAGAACACGCCATCGCCGTAGCGGTCGTCGAGTCGACCCTCATCGTTCAACCTCTCGACCCTTTCATGTGCCCCGTCAGCGAAGAGCCACATTTGACTGGACCCAGTTGACTAGAACTAACCCCGAGAGTTATCACACACTCCCTCTAATTTATCCTTTTGTTCACCTTAACGAACAGTGACCCTTGACTTCTCCGTGCTACGAAAGCGAAGGATTGGTGGGGGGTACTCGTCACATGTGTTGGAGGGTGCGTGGGTTTCGTGTTGCAGATTGGGTGACATGAAATGAGATCCGCATGGAACGTGTGTATACGTAAAAGATGCGATTTCAATTGTAAAAACCGCGTCGTATCGGATGCTTTCAAACGTTATTATTCGGCATTGTCCTAATTGCACTTACTTGGGCACGAGAAGATACTTGCACGATTTTTGTCATAGCTAATACAACCACTCGACATGGGGCTAGAAGAAAGTATGTAAAACACATCCGCTAGTCTTAGCACGGATAACCCGCCTTTAGATTACATTTTTTTTGGTGATTTAGCATTAACTTCTCTCGAGTATTTTTTATATTTGGAAACTTTAGATAAGCTAAACTAATTAAATAAAAATAGAATAGAATAGCATGACTCATAGACAAAATTATTTCCATTGTAACTAGTAGAGCTTCCAATTATTAAAATTTAATGCAGCTTCTCGAAAGCAAAAATATTTATTTAGCGTATCATTTGACACGATGTAAAGCTTAAAAAGGTTGTGCTTAATTGAGATCCCTTGGGATACATAATTAGATTTATATTCCGAGTGTCATGGTATCTTTAGTGGTGAATTGAGTTAATTATCCTTATATTAACATGATCTCGAGAAGGTAAGAGAACCCCAAACGTAAATAAAACAAAGAGCACTAGATTCCAAATAGACGGAGAAAAAGAAAGAAAGATATCAACCAATTATAGCCCAACTGCATGAAAGTGAAAAGTCAATATGGCCATACATACGTTTACATGTACATATACATATACATATTATATTAGAGAACAGAAGAATTTACTCCATCCCTTTGTCCATAAATGAGGATTCACTGAATGGTGAATTGAGAAATGTGACGGGGCCACTGAAAAGATGGGAAATGTGAAGAGTGAACAGCAACTGATCCTTGCACCCACATTGGACTTGTTTTTTTTTTTTAATATAAAATAATGCAGCAGTCTGGGGGCTGCCACTCATCTACCTGACAAAAAGTAAATGACATCGCACTAATTAATCATTAAATTATTATTTTTAAATTAATTTAACTATCGAATTAAAGAAATCCTCCAACTGGGTTTCTTTATAAAAAAAGCTTCCTAACCCCACCACAAGTTCCCAAAAATTCCAACCGTGCGGGGGAATTAAATTGTTAAAAATAATCAGCAATTCACTATTTTAATATGTTAGGCCCCGGCACATTAGCCTAGTCTAAGATATGGTCTATATGCGAAAGTATATGACTTGAGCATTTAGTAATCATCACATGACAAAAAATACTTAATTAGATTGCGATCTATTTGCTAGGATCCCAGGTGACAGAGGATTGACTAAAGGGGAGGAAAATGATCTGTTTTTGTAGGGTAGCAGAATCTGTCCGCCGATCGGTCTTTTTATTATTATTATTATTAATTGGAGATTTATTAATATGGCTAAGCACATGATGTTTGGTGTCTCTATAAGTTTCTCTAATCAGATTGTGTTTTTCACCAAATCATTGAGTGAAAATGGGGTTTGCCCACTCTAATCACAATGGTATAAGCATGTCTTGTTTACTTCGAACTCATCATAAAACGCATTAAAAGCGAATAAATTCAAGACACAACGATGTATATATTATTTAAGAAATAGAGTCGTTTAAGTGGGAAACTATTGGGTTTTTTATTCCGAAATGAGAGTGCGAAAGTTTACACAAGCATAGGGCTACTTTCACTTGTACAATTAGGGACGTAGATGGTTGATAGAATGATGTTTGTCCATTTGCCATATCATGTCTTGAATGAAATTTAGATATGTCTGAATTTTCTTTCGATTAAATCGATATTTTCCATATAATGCCTAAATAGTTGATGAATGATCTTTTTTTTAGGGTTAATACCACCAAAAATCACAAATTGGTACGCGTGTGACAATTTTACCTCGAACTATTTTTTTGACCACCAAAAACCCCAAACTGGCACACCTGTGATAATTTTACCCCGAACATACCACAAAAAATCCCAAACTGATACACTTGTGACAATTTTACCCTGAACATACCACAAAAAATCCTAAACTGGTACACATGTGACAATTTTACCCTGAACTAAAATATTAATATTATTTTTTATTTTTTTGAATTTTTTCGAATTTTTTTGTTTTTTCTTTTCTTTTTTTTTTCTTCATCTTCAACCATTGACCGGCGAGGTCGGCCCCGCCGGCTGCTGGCGAGGGCCGCCCTCGCCGGCGTCGGGCGAGGGCCGCTCTCGCTCGATGACGGCGAGGGCCGCCCTCACTTGAGTCATGCGAGGGCGGCCCTCGCCGGCGTCGAAGCGGAGGCTGTCCTCGCCCGCCCGGGCGAGGGCGACCCTCACCCACGCCGCGGGGCCGGCCTCGCTGGCGGGCGGGCGAGGGGCCCCTCACCCGGCTCCGGCCCCAGCGAGCGGCCCTCGCTTTGAGTCGGGCGAGGGCGGCCCTCGCCCGCGCCGGCGAGGTCGAGCCTCGCCAGCAACCGGCGGGGCCGACCTCGCCGGCTTCCGCCTCTGGCCGGTCGCCGGTCCGGCGACTGGCTAGAGGTTGAAGATGAAGAAAAAAAAAAGAAAAGAAAAGAAAAGAAAAAATAAAAAAAATTAATAAAAAAATTCGAAAAATTTAAAAATTATTAGTTTAGGGTAAAATTGTCACAGGTGTACCAGTTTGGGGTTTTTCGTGGTCAAAAAAATAGTTTAGGGTAAATTTGTCACGGATTTACCAGTTTGGAGTAAAATTATCACATGTGTACTAGTTTGGGATTTTTAGTGATAAAAAAAAAGTTTGAGGTAAAATTGTCACAGGTATACCAGTTTGGGATTTTTGGTGGTAAAAAAAAAATTTGGGATAAAATTATCACACGCGTACCAGTTTGGGGTTTTTGATGATATTAACCCTAAAATAAAACGTGTAAAACAAGGAATAAAAAGTAGGGGACAGACAGACATCAGTAGCAGTCTTAACCATGGGGAGCTTCAAGCGAACGGGCTGCTTCTCCGACAAATCAGTGGGAATTATATCTACCTACGCAAATTACGCACAGAGACTATTACAAGACAATCCCATTGAAACAAAGGATTCAACAGCTCCCTGGATAAATGTGAGGAAGTAGTAGGAATAACTCCAATTTCGTTACTTTTCTCCATTTTTAAACAGTCAAGCATGCTTCCGAAGATAAACTCAAGTCTATTTCCGTAATTACTTCCGACATCCAAGAAAAAGCACTGAGCCGTTCGATTTCCCAAATAGAGAAGTAAGAATCCTAACGGTATCATGCCCTCACATTACCTCGGATTTCTCAGAAACGTGATCGAAGACAGCTTGGTCGAAAGGCCTGACGGTGACCAAGTCGTAGCTCTTGAGAACGGGGTTCGCGGAGTTCTGGACCTGAGCCTGGGAGACGGTCTCGGCAAAGACGGTCAGGCGCGTGTACCGGCGGAAGGCGAGGGGGAGGGGGAGGCTGAGGAGGCTGTGGTGGAGGGAGACGGACGAGGAGAGCAAGGTGGGGTCCTTGAGGAGCGCAGAGAGGGAGAGGAGGGGGTGGAGCAGTGGTCGCGATTGTACACGACTGCCACTCATCGAGCGGTTGTAGGTGACGCCGTCGTAGCCGACCTCCATCGCCTTGGTCGCAATTTCAACGCAGTTGGCCTTGTTGGACGGTGAAGGAGAGGCGTCGTAGGTTTAGCAGCAGTCAGGCATGCAGTGCAATACTTTTAATTTGCAGGGTTTTAAGTGCTCAGCGAGAAGCTTTCTTCGTCTGTCCAAGCGGGCGAAGGGAACAAGAAGATCAGAAGACGGGCAATACGACGTCGCTTTGTCACGGTCGGACCCGGTTGGGTCCGATCCAATTGGCCTGGATTGGGCACGACTGATTCGGATCGGGCTTCGTAACTGAATAGCCTTGTCCGAAGCTGCCCAAAATTTGGCTTGAGCGAGCCTAGAGGGCAATGATCATGTTTAGTCTCGATCACATTGAAATGATGTCCACATTTTACGCCATAGTTAATCTCATGTCTTCGCTGATGATCATTGTAAATCTGCACCTATTCTCGAGACCAATCCTTTCTTTCGAACATATTTTGCTCCTGTCGCGTTTGGTACTTGTCATCAAATGTAAACTCAAATACGTTATACACTGAGAATATAAGATGGCTTCTAAGATTTTATCGATCTCGTTTGCAGAGCAATCCCCAGCAAGAGGCGCAAGTCCGTGTAATCTGCTAAGCATTTGAGGACCGGATCCTTTATTCTGTCACGAATGCTGAAGTTTAGCATCAACACCCACTGTGCCGAAAGGCCAGGAACCCAACCTGTAAAAGAAATATGTCCCGGGCTCATAGGGTCCACACCGGCATATATGTCATAGCATAGTGGGTTGGTCATGTTCGGTATTAAGCCCGCCGCATCTCTCCAGGTGTGGCTACTGTCAACGAATTGTAGCGATCGGAAGTGAGCCTCTTTCCCGAACCTCTCTGCGGGGAGTGTCGGCTCCTATGACTATGCAGTTCTGTCTGTATTCACGATCTCTCCACCCGGATCCATTCGGTTGGCGCTCGTGCTCAGGGTGGTGAAGAGAGCAGAAGGCCACTATCCCACATGCACACCTTGTACTTGCAGCCACCAAATCGGCATCGCTTCACCCTGAAAGAGACCGCGGCGTTTATGGGCCAGTTAGAGTTGCTATCGAGATGACTCCCTCTTGAGACTCTAGTCTTCTACAGAGTGGGAAGGAGTTTGACACATATATAAATAGAAATTGATTAAGTGCAATCGCAAATGCTCCTTTATTGCTTTTGAGTAAGACCAGTAAAGACGATACATCTGCTGCTGAACATTTACAATGTCACTTCCCTTTGACATGGCACTCATAAGGGTAGTTGGTATCGCTGTATCATCACAAGTGCATGCGATATTTTGGACAGTGGGACGAAAATCTGGGACGCCCATAGTAGAAATGGACTCCATGTGCACCAGACTTGTCCTCATCGATGTGTAAATCATAGCATTGAGGCCTGGGTCACATACTTGACGACATTCTCTCCATTTCTCTCGTTGAAACTGGCATCGATGAACTTAAGATTACGGTAGAATGATGCTTTTCCGAAGCCTTCAAAAGGAAAATGGCCGCTCCCCATTTGCGTTGCTGTATGATGACCATCCGGTTGTGTATTGATCATCTCTCCACCCCCAAAGTATTTCAGAAGCTCCTTCATCTTGAGAAGTGAATATTTCTCTGGGCTAGTATCCCAAATCGACATCCGTGATGGGTAGCCACCAATCCCCACTATCTTGATTCTGAAATTGTCCCTTTGGTCAAGAGAAAGTATGTGCATGTATTTCTTTTGAATAGATAAGTTCTACAAGTAGAAGGAAGTGGAGACAGTCAATGATAGGCTATGCATTTCAGCCTGAGGGTGTTTTATGTCACCTGAAAGATGGCTCTCAACTTCTCATTACCTTGATTATGGATACATATATGACATGTTGGCCACTATAGATGGAGATAGGTTGAATAGAAGATCCTAGAGCGACTTTACGATCGACTTGCACAAACCTAGGACATTCAAGATTGTAACAACCAGTGTCTTCATAGTCATCGACCTGGAATCCATCCAAAATAGACATGCCAAGTTTGTGTCCTTAATCTTGCGAGTTATAAGTTTTGAAATTATTAAAGAACTCACAATCCAACTGTAACGTCCTTACCTCGAGGTTATTAGCGCGACGTCCCGTTCATTATTATCTTTGACTAAGCACAAGCGGAAGCAATTAATTCGGGACAATCACAATCAGGACAAACAACGGGGTTATGACAAGCATTATGAGCAAACCTTATATTAATATGTAACATCTGATTATTAAACACATGCGGTAACGTGTATAAACAATTCCCAAACATAATAACAGTTGGAAATCACGAAAAGCATAACAGGCAAGACACATTATTGCCATTTTACTTAAATATATTTTACAAGCTCTTTTTCCACGGGCCGTCCACACACAAATCATATCACAAGTGAAGGCCGAGGTTAATCCTAGCTCCTCTATGTCATCCTCTGTCTTACGGACCTAAAAAGAGAAAAAACAACGGGGAGTGAGTCAGGGAGATTCAATGAGTAAATTCACTAATACTCGTGCAGGATGATGCCTTGTTGTCGTACTAATGCATACAAATACTTTCCCCGCCTTATGTCGATGACAAATCAATAGCAAAGACTTTGACCTTGCCCTTGTTATGTTCACATGGAAACTCACCTTTATTCGGTCACATAAATTCGGCTTATCAATAAGCATACATACCAGCACACATATAGACTTCATTTATCACATACCGGCACACATATAAGATTCATGTATCGTTATCCTGGCTCAATTAGGGCATCCCGGCTCAACCGAGGCATCCAGCTTCATGCTAGGCATCTTGGCTCAACCAAGGCATTCCAGTTTAACCGAGGCATCCCGGGGCTAGCTCACCCGAGGCATCCGAGCTCAACTCAGGCATCCTAACTCAACTAGGGCATCCCGGCGCTAGTTTACCGAGGCATCACCGCCAATGCTATGTGATAATGGTCTTCTTATTTTATTTAGCGATCACACATCATGGGTCACACAAGCCGGTTTATTATCTTGATTTCATTAGTCCATGCAATCAAGCCCAAAGGCGTGCAATGCTTGTGTAATCATGATCTCTAGAACATTCGCCTATCATGCGGATCGCGGTCGACGGCACGTGGTTCAGTCCGCCATGTCGAACGCCGGCTCGGAGCCGAACTTGGCTTGGATCTATACATCTCAATGTAAACCTGCACCAAGCCGAACTCGTCTCGTGACGCCACAACATGAGTACGAGATTATACGACACCCCGTTTCGTGACTCGTACGTGCCTTGACTTACGATTATGAAACAGAATAAGAAACATTCATGCAAACATTGAGCATCACAGACACGGTCCCTACTTGAGCCAAACTCATAACACCATGTCCTATCCTCTTATAAATCAACAACCATGGATGAGAACATCAAGCATGGTAACAAGCGATGCGTGCAACATCGAGACAAATAACAACACGCAAGTCTCAACAAAGGCTCGGGTGGGAACTCAAGCCAACAACGCATCATAACTTCCTATCCCGAGATTAGAAAATCCACTTACATGCCGCGTTCCAACCACGTAGCACACTGTCCTATTCAAGTGTTAGGGAATTCACTCACCTATAATCACCTATAATCATAAGAAACGTCTACTGCGGTCGGCGGTGGCAAATGGCGAGAGAGAGAGAGAGAAGTGTTTGGCGTGAGGGTGAGAGATGAGAGAGAGGCGTGAGAATGAGAGATGAAAGAGGAAGAGGAAGTGTGTGTGTGGGGTAACTAAGGGAGGGAAACTAAGCCTATTTATTGTTCCCCAAGTTTTGGCCACTTGCTCACCAAGCTTTGATCAACTTGTTCATCAAGATTTGACCAACTTGCTCACCAAGCTTTGATCAACTTGCTCACCAAGTTTTGCTTTCTAGAACCCTCATTCTTGTCTCTCGTTTCCCTCTCAGTTTCCCCCTTCGTGTGACCTCCAATCAAAGCATAGCATAGCTCATTTGAAAGCTCAGGATGAGCACATTAAATCACCAGAAGACATCATGTTGAGATTCCAACGTTCTCATATAGAAATTGATGAATCTGTGAAATCTGACAAAACCGGCAGTTTTGTACTGTTCACGAAATCGGACTTGAAAACATAGTAAATGGACTCCAAAAATTCTCAAATTTGGATATGTTATAAAAAATACCTTAAAAAACATTTTCCATGAAGAACAAAAAATCTGAATCTTTTTGTAAACAAAACTTTTAATAGCTCAAAGACAGAATAAAAACAGTTCGTTGGAACAGAATATTTGCTTTTCAAAGTAAGCTCTTTCCAGTATCCAAATCATCTCCAAAAATTCCCAAATTTATGTATGTTATAGAGAAAGAAGTTCTCAACAACTTTTATAAATAAATTTTGTTCAAATTCGGCCCAGAAAAGTTTGTAGAAAATCGAGAAAGTGTGAATATCACAGAAATACCCATTATTTGCAGTTTTACACGGTCCGAAATTAGGCTATCGTACCACTCATATCAAGCCCAAAAATTCTGAAATGAAAGTATGTAAAACTTCAATATGTTTGGAGAAACTTTTAAGATAGGAAGTGTTTGAAAATTCGGATCACAAAAGTCTCCACAAAAATAACAAAATGAAGGGGTACAGATGATCCGAATCTGGATTTTCCAGAACAAGAGTAAAATTTGCTCTGATTGGAAAACCACCAAACTTAAACCATAGCCATTTCTCAGGGACTGAAATTGAGGATGCTACACCAATATACGAAAGCCCTTGTCCATTTGCCGAAACTAGAACCTTTATCTACCTAGAACAAAGAAGGGGTTAAAGAGCTTTGTGGAACTAGTAAGCATGGTCAATTTCAGTTGTATTATTGTTTGAAATTATGATGCAATGCGAGTGCTCAAATCATTGATATAAGAAGTGGTAAGTGATTAACCTTTATGTTTGAGAGTTGGAGATTCGTTGAATTTAATGGAAATTAGGTAAGTTCTTATCTTGGTTATCTAGGAAGTAATGGGAATTCAATATTAAGTGATGATCTTTTGAGTGATAAGTTCTTTATTAAGATTTGTGGTTTAAAGATAAGTTCTAGTTTGGAAACCAATGATGCTAGAGACAACTATGGGAAAATTCGTTGGAAGACAATTGAGGTTGGAATTTAAAGAAGTGGATCTTTATCTTAGTGCTACGATTGTAAGTACACGATAATCATTTTAATATGATGATGTTATGAGTCATGTCTTCGGTGCATTACAAGTTAATTGTCCCATGATGCTAAATGACCAATTTTTGAAATAACGTGATTAATGATCTAACTCGACGTGTTAGTAAGAATATGAGAAGTATTTGAAGGTTTTTATACAGTAAATAAGAGTTGATTTGCATAAATCTTCAAGTCGATGATGTGATATTCTTGAGAATGAGGTTGATTAATGGAATAGGCAATTGATGTATGATATGAGATTGATCAACGGAATTTGATCATTGATATATGATTCGATGTTGTTGATTTATGTTAGTTTTTCTGATAAGTGTAAATTTTGTGGAAAGATATAACCCACTTTTGTTATTGTAAGTACACGAAATATGGTATTTGAGAGTAATGAGTATTTAAGTATTTTACTTTTCATGTGACCGCATATTTCACTGTTCTTTTTGATCATATGCATATGAACTTCTACTGAAAGGAAATAACTTATATGTTGTACTTATATTATCTATCGGATTTGGGATTATTGAGTTTATGGTATTGGTTTGTAAGTATGCACATTAGATGCTTGACTTGCTTAGAAGAGTTATGTACTACTCATTAAGTTGTGGTTGCTCCCTCCATTCATTCCAATCCTTTTTAGGTTATTTAGTTAGTGGCTAATAGGACATGAATGATATCTACAGGGAATTTTGATAGTTAAATTTTGGATATGAGTTGAAATAGTTTGATACATTGCCTAAAGTGATATTTGTTGGGTTTAGTTGAGTTGGAAGTGTACATGAACTTTTGATGGATTGTAGAAACTTTGATCCTTTCACCAACTTGCTAGTTGACCATACATACATACATACATACATACATACACACATAAGAACAATACTAATGAAATTAAGATAAACGAAATTCTTCGACCAACACATATATAATGCTCCATTCAACAATAGTACCCTGATTGAATCATCATCAATCTTCACTGGATTAGGTAATACTGTGGAGGCCACTAGAGGATCCGCATTGAAATAGATCAACTTATGACCAGTATGTTATATTCACATAATGAAGCCTTCTATCATCAATCTTTTTTCTAAGATTCATTTCCATGGAACGAGGAAAGCAGGTCCTTTATTCATGCAGTCTATACATTTGGGAATTTGTTAACATATCATTTTCTTGAATTCCTTCTGTGACATTCCGAATTTCGACCTAGTTTTGGAATTTATAAAGCGTGTATTTCGTCAGTGTGCTTATGGTAAAATCTCGCCCGGAACTGATCACTCTTGGGTTATTTTTTTAATTTGAGATTTCGCTAAAATCGCACTTGATCGAATTTGGCCGTTATTTAAAGCCCGAACTTTGGTGTCAAATTTCTCGGAGTTTTGTGATGAATTTAATTGGACGGTGTCGATATTATTGTGGTCAGCGTCGATATTGCCCGGGATTGGTGAAAAGTGAAATTTGGACCGGGTGCAGATTTGGACTAGTAGATCTACCTCTTAGTGTATTTTAGTTAGTATTTTTTGCCCTTTTTCCTAATTTTATAATTAGGATTTTTCGTGGACCGTCGGATCGATTTCGGGTTTGAACGTGGGTTGTTGGATCGCACTCGATGTGGTTGACTTTTCCCTCTCTCTCTCTCTCTCTCTCTCTCTCTCCCCTCTGCCGCGCGTCCCTTCCACCCCTTTGCCCCAAGCACGTCCCCTCTCTCTCTCTCCTCCTTCTTTTCTTCTTCCTTTTTCTTTCTCTTTTCTTCTTCCTCTCTTCTTCTTCTTGGCCGAGCTCCTGCTTTTTGCTTCTTGCTGCTCACCACCCGATCGCTGCTCACCCAGCCGTAGCTCGCCGCCTGCCTTGCGCCGTTGCTTGCCCACGAACGCCGCACCGCTGCCGGCCGCGCCATCGCCGCCTCGACCCCCCCTCCTTCCCCTTCCCCTGTTTTTCCTTTGCCTCGACTCGCCCCTGTTCCGCCTCCCTCACGACCGCCGCGCGCCGCAGTTCTGGATGCCATTACCCCCATCGGCTCGCCACCACCACCCCAGCTTTCCCCCTCAAGCTGCCGTCGCCCCCGCTGCTCCGGCAACGACGCGGCTGCCTCTGCTTCGCCCCTGTTCTGGACGAGCCTGTCGCCGTCGCCGCCCAGCAGCTGCTCGTCTCGTCGCCGTCGTCGCCATACAGCCCAACTCGCCGGCCGTTTTCCTGCTCGCCTGGCCGAGCCCATCGCTGCCGTCGTCGCCGCCGCCATCGCACGTCGCCACCGCAGTGTCGCCCAACTAGCTGGCCGGCTCGCTCACCAGCCAGCCAGGTCGCTCGCCCAGCTCGCCGGCCGCCTGCTCGGGCTGTGACCGAGCACTCCTGGCCGTCCCTACCGTGGTCGGACTGCCCCGGCCGTAGCTGAGCCCGTTGCCCGCGCACCTGGCCACCTTCCCGGCCATGGCCAAGCCGGCCAACCGCTTGCCCATCGTGCCCAGCCGTCGCCCGTCCGCCTGGCCGAGCACCTCGCTCGTGGTCGAGAGTCCCGAGCCATGGCCGAGGACCGTGCCGAGGCCTTGCTCGTTGGCCGGCCGCTGTACCCTCGCCCGCGCCGAGCCGCCACT